TGGTGTCTGGAAAATTAAGCCAATGTCAAATGTCAAATTATTATGTTCGTCGTGTGATGAGCAGAAATCACTAGGTTTAAAAGCAGAGCTAAGTCCCATGATATTCATAATTGTGCGATGAATATGTCTGACTTGACTACTTTGTGATTAAATGGACCGGTAGGTTATATAAATGACAGCAATCACAGGTAAATAATCACAGTGCATTAAAGAGAATAAAAAGAAGAAATTCAGGCCTGCAATTTAATTATTTGCGTAGGTTCTCTTTCATACACAATGGCCCTGTTTGTTATGTATTCTGAGGCCTCTAACTCAAACCCATTTAATACATATATTTTTTCAAAATTGATATATACCTAAAATAGATTTTTCCAGCACCCAAATAGGTAACCTGGGTTTCCTCCCAAATATCATCGTGATGGGAGTTTTCCCCAAACCCACACAGCTCAAACATCCACCATCACACAGTAATAAATGGAGTGTTAATATTTCAGGAGAAGTTGTTTTAGCCCAGATAGAGCATTTTTTCAACATTATGAAAAATAAAATTGCTTTAACAGCTGAATTAAAAGTGAGTGTAAAAGTCTGCAAATGCATAGTGACAAAATCAACCCCACAGCAGTGTCAAGGTTGCCAGATTGAGTGGCTTGCGACCTATTTACACAATATTGTGTAGAATTTACTCAATGTTAAATATTTTAGAAATGAGTACATTTTACACAGATTTTGAGTGGGAGCAATATAAGTATGTAAGTAATGTGTATTTATATACTGCATTATACAGACCAAGGTCACCCAAAGTGTCAGACTTCAGATAATTATGATGGAAGCGAGATGCCGAACACACCACAACCAACACAATCCATTCACTCACTCATTACACTCATACCTATTGTAGAGGTTTTTTTCAATGGTAGGGGAAACCGGTAGCCTGACTCTCTCGCAAGACCCTTGCAGTTCCACCATGCTCCACCAGAGGCGTTTTGCTTCACGCACAAGGGTCTGGGTTCGGGCACATAGCAAACTTCTTCAGGAGATCAAAAAAATAATCGACCAATCAGGATCGCTGGTGTTACGTCGCGTTTGCACCGCCTTCTCGTGCGTGTCTCAGGCGGCAGCAAAAGCAATCCATGACGGCCGACATAAAGTCCGTGGTTTTAAAAAAAGTTTAAATACAAACAAATTAAGACACGGATGTCACTTTTAATGCAGTTTGAGGCGAGATGTTGATGGTTCCATGTTTTTATATGTGTGTTTTAAGAGTCAAATGTTTGTGTAAAGTGTGGTTTAAGCACTAGCTTAGGTGTTCCTGTTTAAGTGTTACAACACTACGCAGCAGGGTTGCCAGGTTGGGTGGTTTCCTGCATACTTTTTTTCCAAGCGACCTGTAGGTATTAAAGTGATAGTCTGTAACTCTAAATTAATTACAAATTTTAGGAAATGTGGTAAATTGACCTCCTGGCCTTAAATGTTGATATATAATAAGTCGATTTATTAATTCTAATATTACGGGTAAGTCCCGCCTTCCCTTCTCTTAGCTACAGCTCAGAATCCACGGTGCCGTCGAGGTTAACCAATCGAGTCATGCCAAGGGCTGTCAATCATCGACGCTGATGCTCGCAGCTGCTCATGCTCAGTTTGTTTGTTTTCGCTGAGCCTCCGGAATCAAGCCTCTATTAGGATTTGGAACAACATGAAAACTGAACAAATAATTCTGAACATCCGCGCTGAGGTACGAGCTGAGGTGTCTATAGAGAACCTATATCCATAATCATTTATATACTGAACCTATATCCATAATCATTTATATACTGAACCTATAACCATAATCAGATCCTCTGCAGATGTGTCCTATAATGTTCAATTCATGATAATAGCACTTCCGGGTTTGCCGCGATCGCTTATTTTGTGCATAAAACGTTCACAAATAATTCTGAAAACCTCCGTGCATGTGTATTAATAATGTATATGTATAATGTGTTCTCTGATTAACATTTAAAAGTGTTACGGAAACGTAGGTGTAGACCAATCAGAAAGGAAGGGGGAGGAGCTTGCGTCATTTTTTTCAAATCAAGTACCTTTCTGTCTCTCTTTCTGACAAACTCCAGACAATCACTTTAAATAAACAGAAAGACAATAAAAGAATCATGATAGCCAAAGTTGATTACATTTTTAGCCAAAAAATCATTCTGGCTTTTTTTTTGGGCATTCTCGCGGGTAAGGAGCTAGAAAATCTTGCCGGCCTTTGGCAACCCATGGGAGCCGTGTGCTGAATCGTGTGCTTCGATGTGAGTGGTTGAAGGAACACGTGATTCAAGCTAACAGACAAGTGGTTTATCCAATCACATACAAGGATTTTTTTACAAGGCCCCGCCTTCTGAAATGTATCCGCTATAAGCAGACCCAGATCCTCGTGTGAATCTCAGCGAACTACAAGAGTCTAGCGAGAGTCAGGCTAGGAAACCAGAGCAGACACTGGGAGAACATGCAAATTCCACTATGATCTGAAGAGTTAAACTGAGCTCTATAGGAGTCACATTAACACTTCTGTTCAACTGTGTACGTCCATCCATCCATCCATTTTCTTCCCCTTAATCCATTTCTGGGTCGGGGGGGTGGCAGTCAGACAGGCCCGGACTGGCCATCGGGAGCATCGGGAGATCTCCCGGTGGCCTGCGTGTCAAAGTGGCTGGGCCTGCCCTATCATCACGGTCTTTTTTTCTTTTTTTTTTTTTCTTCTTTCTTTTAATTTAATTTCATCCTCACGGTCTTTGCAAACTCCTACCCTGCCTGGTGGCCTGGTCCAATGAGCAAGGCCCAGGCCAAAGGCAGTGTTGTGCGTGAACGAGTTCAAAAGAACGCGTTCATTGAACACGCTCATTTTTTCGTGAAACGTTGAACACATTTTTTAATAAATAACTTGAACGTGAATTAGTTCATATTATGTGTCATGAACGGCAGACAATTTGTTTTCCATTTAAAACTGAGTGAAATCTGTTTTCTTTTTTGAAACGCAACGAGAGAAAGTTCCTCCCTCCTGTATTCTCCGCACTGTTTCCGCCGAAAACTAAAAATTCCTACGGTTTCCACCGTCTGTGAACGCACCCCGACTCAGTGTACTTGCGGTGCGGCGCTATATGCTGGTGCTATTCATTGGTTGTTGGACTCACATGTGCCGTGATGAAAACACAGGGGTAAGTCAGTGACACAGGGCCGTTTACATTTGACATAAAGTATAGACACACGTTCTGCAGCGCATTACAGTTTGTACTTATGAGCAGAGATGGGACAACTCAGTTCCCATTGAAACCCATGTAAATCTTGTCTGCATTGGAGTCAAAACATCCTGTGCAGTGTACAGGATATAATATATATATATATATATATATATATATATATATATATATATATATATATATATATATATATATATATATATATATATAATATATATATATATATATATATATATATATATATATATATATATATATATATATATATATATATACCACGTATTGTGATTTCTAGCTCGTAGTGAAAAAAAATATTTATTTGAATATCTCGCAAAAAGTAAAATGAACTGAACTTTGAACTAGTTCAGAATTAAAATTGAGAACTTCGAACGTGAACTGTTCACTTTGAGCATGTATGAACTGAACTTGAACTTGTTCAGAAAAGCTGTGAACTGGCACAACACTGGCCAAAGCTTTACTGTCATTGGGCCAGAGCAACATTAAACAAATGTGACGTCACACGTCGGCTACACAGCCAGGCCAGCCTAGCAGTGCACCCAGTGTAGCTTCCCCGGTTGAAATGAGTGGTCTCTCCAACTGATGGTTCATACACGTTTTTATTTTTCCTTTTATATGAGCTGTAACGATGTGATTTTACCTTACTACTTTTTTAACAATAATTGATTAGCTTGTTATAGTTATACACTAATGAACACTTAGTTCATTGTGTGTGTGTGTGTGTGTGTGTCTTTATTCTCACTAAACTCCATAAACGTTACGTTGCTAAGCAACGTACAACAATCTTTAAACGTCCGAGATTATATAAACAGTCAATATAAAAAGAAATAAAGAAAACAAAAGTTTTGACAGTCAATCTTAAAACTATTAAAAGAACATCAAAATACAATGACAAAAACCCAAATTTAGAACCTTGTTTGGCCTGAATGGATGAAAAGCTCCCGGCCTGAAATGTTGTCCCACTCCGGCCCTGCAGTCAGAGCTGCACCCAGTCCACTTAGCACCAGCCCCTCACTGATCCTCCTGCAGGTGGTGAGTCCACAGGAGCTGAGATCTTTCAGTGGGAGCTTCAGACAAAGTGGGGTTAAGTGTCTTGCCCAAGGACACAACGACAGCAGTCATCAGTGGGAGTCGTGAAGTAGGTCTTATGGTGGGCTTGAACCCACGACCTTCAGGCCCAAAGGCCAATGCTCTACCAACTGAGCCACTGTCGCCCCAACTGTGTACGTTCTTATTTTATTATACAATGGCCCCTAACATTGTTTTTGATGTATGGGGGCCTCTAACCCAGTATACATCAACTTAAAGTTTGTCCCCACAATCTATTCATGTATTAAAAATTGGTGTCTAAAATAGCTTCTCCAGCACACCCAGAATTAACTGACCCAGTTTTATTCCTCATCATGACTGGATTTTTCCGCAGCCCAAACATCCACCATCATGTTCCGTTCGTCTTGCCTTGTTTCATCAGCTGCAGATCTGCACGTACACCCAGGCCCCGGTGGACCAATGCCAGCTTCCTCTAATGCACAAACAAACTGACAAAATGACACAGGGGTTTGGCGGTCGCAGCAACAGTAACCTACACACACTTTAGACACCTCCAACAGCAGCACTCCTTTAACCATCCTATAAATAAACGTTCCACTGCTTGGTCAATGGGAACGCCGCTGCTTTTCGCCTCACCTAAAGCATGGCCGCGGCTCAGGTTTGGCTCTTTAGTGCGATGGCATGTGTCGAACTCACCGGTCCGGTTTCAGTTTGAGCCATCAACAACCTGGGCTCACACACGGATCCATGGCTCAGACAGGAGACTGGAGGCGAGCCGCGAAATGCTTTGACCCACTGTTATTCCGTACACTGCTCTGCTCCTGGATCGCTTACGGCGGCTTGACACTGTGTGCTTCTGCTGTCATTTCAAAAAGAGGTTTTGGACGTGGAGATCAGGACACGGTTTGCACCTCGTAATGTTTAACAAATGGGGACATAGACTTCTAGTGATGATATGATTTAAAACGGGGGGAACGTCACTTTCAGACAATGCAATGAATCTGTCTGACAAACTCAAAACTGTTTGGTTCTGTCACTCGCCTCCAGGTGCATGTGTTTGTTTTGGCCTCTGTTGCAGGAGAGGACCAACGTGTTCCTAAAACACTGCAGTTCCAGCATACATACTGATATCTTCTGGGAAAGGAAAATATTGCATTACAGTGGTCCCTTACTTCATTGCAGGAGGGTCTAAGGACAGTGATGATCCGGGGCATTTATTCATTTCTTTTCAATAATTTTTCTTTAAGGGCAGTGGTCATACTGCTCCCTATGGACCAATGGCTCCTATGTGTTTGTCTCTGGCCTGATCTCGACAACTTTGTAAAGTCTTCTGTTTTTGGGGTGGCTGCAAATACATCGAATTGCCAAAATCATGAGCACATTTCTAAACTTGATGGAGCTAAAGCAAAGGAAAAGTCTCCGAGGTTACATACTCATCTAGTTTTTCCGTTTTGGTCTCTTTTTTTAGAATACATACAAAACTCTATATAATCATATTTTTACAACATTTTCCATCTCTACTTCAAAGTACACACAGTTGTTCACTTGTTAAATGATTTGCATACTTGATTACTTGTATATTTATAAGTAATTTTACACTGGTCCAGACCGGAGCTGAGAGGATTCATGGTTCAAACCAAGCGGATCAGGTGAAAAGCCACTGGAGGAATGCTAACTTTTTGAAAAATGCTAATGAAGCATTTAACATTTTACTTTGGACTAAAGCAGAGAAAATGGTCCGAATCAAGCGGCTACTCCATCTTTTGACCTGTCCTGCTCCACCCAGAGGCTACTCCACCTCTGCTGCTGTGACCTAAAGTGCTGTTGCTGATTATTACTATAAGTATGTTTTTAGAATGATACATTTTATTTTTATTTTTGCTGCTACTGGACACCTGAATTTCTCCTACGGAGGATCAATAAAGTATCTATCTATCTCTTTGGACATTTTAAATGTGTGCAATAATGTCCCAATAAAGTGTTCAAAATTAGCATGGTCTTGCTATAACACGAAAGGCAGTGCATCTGGCCTTTCCAATGTAAATAAATAAATAAGTCCACTTTAACAAAATATCTACAGATTTACCCAAGAATTCATGCATGTATGGGCCTGTCCAATTACTTACGTATGTTCATGGTAAGATGTTTAAGGAGTTTTCCACTTTTGTCAATATTACCATAATAAATGCACTTTTTCAGCCCAAAGACAATTCAAACAAATCCACAACATCTTACAAAGTTTGCAAACTCTCCACACAAAACGTTACATAATCCAGCTTTATCTTAAACCTTCTCACAGACAAATGAACCTTTTGAAACCACTGTTGCAAACCTGAGGAGCCAAGGCCGAGCTGATAAAGCAGATGTAGATAAACTTGTATCACTTTAGAAGAATAACAGAGGGACACACAGCAGTCAGAGAATCTAACCGTTCAAACTCAGGAAATGCAATAATAACAAATACATAGGAGCCATTGGTAGGGAGCAGGATGACCAGTGTCCAGAAATGTGTATCATCACTGATCCTCCTGCATCAACAAGCAACCACTCGAACCCAAACCTCCAACCAACGGGTTTGATATCTCTGTGATCACACTTCAGGAGTCGTGGGTCCAGGTGGTTAGAAAAGTGTATAAAGTGTGTGAGGGGTTTTACAGCCTTAAAACTACAGCTGCTGCTTCAAGGATTTCACTTTTTGCAGGTTTTGTTTATAGTGCAAATTAGCGCTTGTGCTTTAAAACAAGATGGAGTTTGATTCCACCACTCAGGGTCTTTTGTGTTGAGTTTGCGTGGTCTCTCTGTGTCTGCAACGGTCTCCTCCAGGTGCTCCTGTTTCCCCTACCACTAAAAACAATAGTACAATAGTCTCCCATAACACCCTCTCCAACCCCACTCCCATCCCCTGTCTTTCAGGAGAGTCCCGGGCCCTGAAAGTCCTCGTAGTGGGACTTTCCTGGTTGAATACAGGTCAAAATAAATTAAACGAAACCCTAGGGTCTATGGACAGTAGAAATGATCCACGACACTCACCAAACAATGACATTTCTTAACATTTATGGACATTGGTCATGGACCAATGGCTCTATTTCTTGTGTTTGATCTGTTTGATTCTCTGATCTGTGTTGGCCAATCAACACCTTTGTAAAGTCCTTTGAGATAACTACTGTTGTGATGTAGGAATATAAGCAGATGCCATATAGGGACGTCCCGCCTGACGTCACGCCATTTGGAGCAGCCATCTTGACGGAATAGAAAATGCAAAACCGCCGGTAATACTACATGTTGTTGCAAATTTTTCCTATCATGCCGGAGCGATGCTGTGCAGTTGGATGCGACCAGATACGTGATCAGACAAAAGGAATATCTTTATACCGGGTGCACAGAGGTTTTCAGAATTATTTGTTCATGTTTTCATGACAAAAATAAAAGTACAATGAGATTTCAGTGCCTGTCACTACTGTGCAGAGAAGCTTGCCCAGCTAGCCACTCTCAAACAAATGGCAATCAATCAATCAACACCATTAAATGTTAATCAGAGAATACAATATACATATACATCCTTAACACAAATGCACGGAGGTTTTCAGAATTATTTGTTCATGTTTTCATGACGAAAATACAGTTTTAATGTAACAAAAAGTGATCGTGATAAACCCGGAAGTAACCATCAACATGAAACGAACATTTTAGGACACATTTGAAGAGGATCTGATTATAGATTTAGGTTTGGTATATAAATGAGTTCCTCACCACTGATGTTCAGAATTCTTTGTTCAGTTTTCATGTAGTTCCAGAGAGTTTTTGAACTAGCTAGCTTAGCTCCATTGCTGCGGAGTCGGCGGACGGATTCCGTCAAAATGGCTGACACGCGGCTATGGGTCGTGTGACTGGGAGATCCCTATAAGAAGATGGCAGACTGTGGACGGTTTATAAAGAAGAAAAAAAGTGGCCTGAATTTGTAGCCTACTGATTGATACAGTAGAAACATGACATCGTATCTAAAACATGAGCTTGATTGTGTCGATTTGACTTTTACAACTTTCTCCAATGATTTCAGTTCCATAAATAGTCGTGAGTGAGCGGGTTCGGGGGAGAAGGCTAAGGTCTACGAAAGAGGAAGTGGTTTGAATAAACACAGGAAACAGGCAAAGTGTGCGAGAAACAATGTCTCTTCCTGTGCTCGGTCAAACAGCTAATGAGATATTATCAACACTGGCCTTCTGTAATTCATGAGCAGAGACTAAAGCAATGTTCTGTCTCCTGTAATACGGCAAAACATGAAACATTTAGCTAGCACCAAAAGATGTGGATTTCTTGTCTCCAGCTAATCTGACAGACCTTGAATTGTTTTGTAAAGACGAATAGGGGAAAAAAGTAATCTCTAGTCTCGACCCTACAATAGGAGTGGACTGATAGTGTTAGTCTTAATGTGGAAGAAGACCATTTCTACGGCCATTTGTTCTGATGGCGTTAGCTTTGTGTCGTAACAGGGACAGTGAAAATGGAGGCATCTCATTGGTCAATCCTTACAGTGCAAATAAATGGTCTTTTATAAGTAAATTCATCAAAATGGCAACTTTAGTGGTTATAGTTATTATCAATTTATCACAGCAAACTATAACTTTAATTCTGAGGAGCACAGGGACTGGCCTCCTGCTGGGACTCTGAGGAGCACAGGGACTGGCCTCCAGCTGGGACTCTGAGGAGCACAGGGACTGGCCTCCAGCTGGGACTCTGAGGAGCACAGGGACTGGTCTCCTGCTAGGACTCTGAGGAGCACAGGGACTGGCCTCCAGCTGGTGCCCAGAGTCAGTACTAAACATGGGGAGGTAGCATTTCAGATTTATGGAACTGAAACCTGAAACAGTCTTCCTGAAAATATGAGACAAGCTTCCATAATAAACAGCTCTGTTCAGCTGTAATACTGTATCTATGTAATGTATCTCCATTCTTTATAATGTACTGTGATTGCTTATGGTTTTAGTTTTTCAGCACTTTTGAGTTGCCTTGTGTATGAACTGTGCCATACAAATAACCTGCCCTTGCCTAAACCCCATAAATGCAGGATGTATCATGTGTCTATGCAAATGAAATCTCACTAAAATGGGTGTAATCTGCGGATGGGGCGTGCTCAGAGTCTAAAACGGTCTGGGATGAATCATACGCGTGCGCTGGCCGTTGGCGCCTATACTGTAGCTGAGTTTCTCCTAAAGCTACACTTGCTTCAACATAAGAGCAGAGAGATGCATTTTGGAGGTGAAAGAATGTTGGAGAGGAGCCAAAAGAAATAGTAGTACACGTGACTGACACTCACATTTTTGTGTCGAGCACGTGTGAGAGAGAGAGGGAGGGGGGAGGGGGGGGGGGGGGGGGGGGGTGTGAGAGAGAGAGGGAGGGGGGAGGGGGGGTAAGGGCGGATCCAAGAGGAGGGCTTAGAATCACAAAATCATAACAAGGCTCTCGAATGACTTATACAGACGTTTTTTTTATCATATTATTGCGACTGATGTTGTGCTGCTGTGCAAAAGTACTAGTTTTAAGAAGTAAGGCAGGGCAAGTTTATTCGTACAGCGCAGTTCATACAAAATGCAACTCAAAGTGGTTAACAAAATAAGGAAAGAAAAACACAATACATTACAATCCTAAATCATCACAGCACATTAAAATACGGGTGAAGATACAGCTTTTCCGTTGCATGCACAGCTAAACAGAAGTCTTTT